CATCCTAAAACATCCCCGTGCATGAACGGCCTCTCTCCACGAAGGTGCAAAGTCAACCGAGTGCTCATTTACTACCCACGCCGTGACGCTCTGCTGCACACCCTGAGCAGAGCACGCACCGTGCCATGCAGTATGTCACTGCTCAATACAATCATCTTACCACATCTCAACTGATCAGGTAGGCCAAGCAAAATCGCTGGGCTTAAAGGCAGCTTAGTTCTGTAGTGACTGATTCTCACTACTTGATAGCTATCTGTTGACCTAAATCGTCTGCTTTTATCAGTCCCAGTTCTAGCTGATAGAAATTTGCCACTTACATAAATGCATAATTGACATCCACAGTTGCTGGCACATTACAGAACTGAACCGTCATTAAGATAAAACTGCTCCCTTAATCCTCCAGGTCAGCCCGAGTAGTACACTCTGATAAATCAGAGTTGCTAATAGATACATCGGAGCGCAAGGGAGGAAGCTTGAAGGGTTCATATCTGTGCCATCTTTCAACCTAATCTGTGAAGCACAGTTTAAACCTTTCAGTATTACTGAATTCACTTGATAATTTTAAAATTAAGATGTACGTATACATCTATACACAAACAGGTATCCATACACTTGCGCTCTCAGAGACTTTCAAGGACTAGCGATGCAGGACAAAGTAGTCTAAGAAACTCTAAAACATGGTGGTAATTTCCCATGTTTATAGCCCAAGAAGTCAATGCAAGAAGAAAAACTTGTATTGTCCATTGCAAGTCTCCGTTTGCTTGCGCATATACATTTGCATGCACATAGCTGAAGATTCAGCTCAAGAGACCTGGTTGAAGGCCTCTCTGTAATTTGAGCTGTGAAATTACTCAATTCCTGGGTTACCTGTAATTAGTACTTGCTGGCACTGTTTGCATGAAATAAAGAGCAGCAGTCCGCGCTTTCCAATGCCACTTCTTGGCAGGGAGCGTACAGAGGACACAGTCGTCTTGTAGCTCTTCCTGGAGAAGATCCATCAGCTGTTTGTGGGAACCACCGTAAAAGGCTTCAATGAGAAGAACACTCATTTTCCAAGTACTTCAGGTCCGTTTGGATTCTGAAAATGACAACAGAGAAATATTTTACTTTAGAAATACACCTTGTTTTATTTTAAGAAAAGGATATTGGAAAACATATTGCAAAGCTTTACAGTGTCTTCATTTTTTCCATGAAATTAATCCTTCATATTATATTAATGAGTTTACTTCAGAAAAGGCTACTTAACAATTATGATGACAAAATTATCACACCCTTTAGTTTTAACCATTAAAAGATACCATTTGTAATTTTTAAATGGATCAAAATGTGCAAGACTTCAAAAAAACCAACAGTATTTTGAATTTATTATTTTGTTTTCAATCAAGGATTTAAAACCAGCTTTACTTTACACACTCTTAGGTACATCATTCTTCCATATGTTAGGGAATATGTCCATACAATGTAGTTTATTCATTTTTACACAAGTTTCTCCCTTTTCCTGGCAGTAGATAAAGCTAAAGAACAATTCAACCACACTTCAGCCCCAACAGTTTCAAATAGTGGCGATTTGGGTAAGTGACTTAAAGCCAGAAAGCAGCCTGGGGAGATGCAGTCTGAGCATCTCCCCGGGACTCTCTCCTGCATTGCTGGGAGCTGGGATCACCACCCGAGCGACATGTTCCGACCCTAGAGGAGATATAAACCATGTTGGTTTGGGTTTTTTTGTTTGGTTTTTTTTTGAGTACTCCAAAATGGCTGGAAGAGAACAGTATCGCAGGCTTAAGGAAGCTCTCAGATGCGAAGCCAGTGAGCTGCTCACAAACAGGATGCAAAACGTGCTGCCCAAAGTGAAAGGAAAGATGAAAACCCTGTGACTATTGCTCACCTCTTTCATGAGTCTCAGGCTCATGTACTGAAAAGCTGCTTTTCAAATGCTTCAAGCAAAACCATCACACACAAAAGCTGAAAACAAAACCCTGAAAGGTATTCACCATCCATGACTGCCTCTCCGATGGTTTCCTTCTCAACATACCCTGTAACAAGGAAGGACTCTCCGTTAAACTAATTTGCTCGGGCTTCGTGTTTGATACTGTATATTGCAAGACCGTACATTCATTTCCTGACCCGTAATTTCTAGTGGTTTCAGACTGCAATCCTTATCTTCTCAAAGCCTCTGGTGACAAAAAGTGAGAATTCAACAGAGAAATACATACTCTCCAGAAAATCTCAATCATCACCTCAACCTTGAAATTTCGTTAAATTCAAGTTCAGGATAAAAAAAAAAATTATATATTCTGTAATGAGAGGGTAGAAAACAAAACAAAAACAAACAAACACACACCTTACAAGTGCATTGTAGCTATCAAAAGATCAACTAGCCAGCAACAAAAATCCAAACGCTTAAGAAATTTAATTGGAAGACAAAATATAAGAAAGCTCTAGATAGCTTCGAGTCATTGGCCCATCATGGTGCAAACTGAAATGGCGATGTAGATCTCCTGGGTCATTACAGATTGGCAAGAGAAAAAGTATTCCATGCTCTGACTTTCTTGCCGTAATCCAGCCTGGATTCAGGTTATAATTTGCTCTATTATTCACTCACCCCTACTGTTTCAAATAAATATTTTTTTGGGATAAATATGTTCCTTTCAAAAGAAAAATTATAGCCTTCTGGAAGCAGAGACTTCACTCCATTTTGGAGCTTGCTTCTTTTCAGGTAGCAAAGCAGATTCTGATCTCTTTTCCACTGACCTAATTTCAAAAATCACACTTTTGAGATCACTGATGTTTTCTGAATTTACAATGATGTAACCGAAATCATATTCTCTACTCCAAAGCCCTTTTGGAGCCTGCAGGGTAATAACTGCTATAAAAACACAAGCTGTGTTTTAGAATACGCACTATTCACCTAAAGAACAATTTGTAATTAATCATGCTACGCTTGTCATCAAATGTCGCCAAAAATTTAACTCAAAGAACTAGAGGGAAGCGTTTTGCAAATTCAGCCCCTAAAAAAAGGGGTATGTGAAAAGTTGGTAAATGCCACTGAGGCAGTCACCCAGGGAGAACGAGTTGCAGTTAATTTGCAAATCATTAGCGGTATCAGTAATAAAGTAATTCGTTCATGAAATATCTGATCAAATTGCACTTCATCAGACTAGTTCTGAAACCAGTTTTATCGCTAGGTTTAGCTGAATTGACAATGTGCTCTCTGGTTTTATTTTGCAACAGTTTTCACTGTATGTCCCTTATGGGGACAGAGAATGACTGTACGTGCTGACGGTAAGAGGCTTTTTCAGTTCTCAGGCTTCCTTCTTGCTTAAAGATCCTGACATTTAGGTTATTCTGCCTTTATCCTACCTTTAGATCTGCTAATAAAACCGCGTTATGCAAATATTACACAAATATTGCCACACAATAAAACTCCCTTTGGCTATTTACATTGGGAAACTGGGTTGAAATTGTGGATGCATCGTGGAGTGGGTGTTAGATGGTTCTTGCTGCCTAATTCTTGGCAGTAACACTTGTAGACCCCACGGCAGCAGCACACGCGGGTGAAAACCAGCAGTGACACATTTTTCAGAGACGATCCGAAGCTCAAAGGCTTTCTTACAAAACTCTCGCTCCCCCAAAATTTAGGTACTGCTCACTAAAATCCTCACTAGCGCTTGTAGGATTCTAGTGTCGTATTAACTTTATACATTACCAGCAATATACATCAAATTTGATTTAGAAAAAATGTTACATAAGGAGCGACTATGGCATGTTTTGTTCTAGTTTTGTTTTTCATGAGATGCTACTTATATGTGAAACTACTAAAGAATAATGGCAGCACAATATATGTCACGTTGACTTCAGGGATTGACTAAGCTGGAACAATGAAAAAGCCAATAAATCTTCTGTTTTAAAAAGATACACTGATAATGCAAAGGAAATTATATTATATATAACTAATAATTTCTTGTATTTAAAAAGGCACAGAGGAGGTAGAACACAGTCGTTTACCTCATATTTCACCCACATGACTTCCAGTTTTGTTCACATACAAAAATAACATCTATTATTTTTGCTTTATTTCCCTTGACCTAGCCAAGTTAAGGTAAATATGTACCATAGACTCCTCAGAGGTCTCGAAAAGACACAGCTGATAAATGGCCTGAGAACATTCACCGTATCTGATGGAATGCAATCCTCAATTAAATATAAATCACTCCAGGTATTCTTTTCCCCATTTCAAAGAAAACAACAAATATTAGAAAAACAGAACTGCTTCCCCTTTCTCATTACAGTGCTTCCTCTCTGGAGCCAGCAATCCTGGGTGTTCCTCTAGCAGCTCAACCCCATCCGCAGGGCTGCAGCACTCTTTGCTTTGAAAATTTGCTCTGCCTATACCAAACGTAGCAGCACATTCTTCAGGATATATATTAATAAGAAACTATCCGAAATAAGAAAATCCTCCCAAGTGGTCAGAGTGTGAAAAATGACATGACTAATACAGAGGTATATTAAACTACTGAGAAATTTAGGTAGGTAATTAGGTGCTGTCTCAAAGCCCAGCATCTCACAGCGACATTCATCCAGGACTTTGATCATTTCCTTCAGCTCTACCGCACGGCAAGCATGTTGTGGAAGAATAGAAAGTGGTGGAGTCCCTAAATGGGCCACTGCTGTTTGGCCCAATAATTTTCCTTTAAAAGAAATTCTGAGTACTATACAGAGTAATAAATAAATATTTTCTTAATGGCACGGAAGAATTAACTGTTCAACTAGCCACAGAAACCATGGCTTCTTTTTAAACGCTAGGTGAACACCAACTAAAGTATTTTCGTTAACCAACCTAGGTAGAGAAAACCCATCATTTTCCATCATTTGTTAAAGAACACACGTTCACTCTGTCTTATAAACAGAAGTGTGGTTTCACAAACATCAGCATAGCTCGCATCAGAGAGCCTTAATTAGCTCCGTTCATTGATGTATTCAGACAACACAAATTATAGATCATGTTTAAATATCTGTCCAACAAAATAGTTGAGCAACAATCCAAAACCAAAGGAATAATTGTTAATATATTCCATAGGTAGAGAGCTGCTATTAGTTACAGGAAATAAGGTATATGGTTTCAGTAATGATTGTTTTAACGGTCACAGTCCCACACGTATGAGAAATTTATTCCACCACCGTATCCAGAGCACACGTGGTTCAGTATCTTGTAACTCAACCGACTACAAAACCCGCCAGGTATGCACTGTGGACATAAACACACTTATAACCTTTGATGATTTCAGGTAAACGCACTGTAATACCTAATACAGGCAAAACCCCTTCGTGTTCCACATTCCGACAAAATGGGATTTTCCAAAGGACTATTACAGGGTCTTTGCCTTTCGTCCTCTGCCTCTTCTCCCTCCCAGCCCCACAACACGCACCCACCCAAAGTGTGGATGCGGCATATATACACACACAAACCCAGACTGAAAGAGCCTGCATTACCCTCCCACTCATGACAATGACTCACCGAAACCCCAGAGCTGTACCTTAAACACAATCACATTTTAATGTTTGACCAAAATTTAACTCGTATTTAGATCACCCAAAAGTACCGGCTCTAAGGTTTGTCATTACTAAACCGTGTAAGTGCACAAAGCGAGAATGCCACTTAATTTATCTTTTATATAAATCAACTGGGAAAAGCAAGAAATTCTCTACCTCTTTTGAGAATGCGGTAAACCAAAATTGTTCACCTTTATTTGGACGTCTGCATCAGCACTAGTATTAATTTACTGGTGATACCCATAAACCACAGTCTGCCCCATCCACACAACCTGAGAGTTGCAAACACCTACAGAACGCCAAAAACTAGTATTACCTGCAGGCACCGAGGATGCTGAACGCTGTCCTACACTGAAACCTGTATGGATTGCACTGCCTAGTTTTACTTCACTAAGCACTAAAATACGGCATTTAATTTCACTTTGCTTATTATCCACATATACATTTGCGAAGACTGTCTTTGTTACGATGACAATCAATTCCCAGCCAGAAATAACAATAGAGTGAATGGGAGAAAATGGCCGAAGT